TCTTCCGAGGTTATACATTTGTCGAATCACAAGGGATTGATGCCTGCCTGAGGAATGTCGCCTATCTTGATGGTATCAGTGGGGCAGTTCTCCGGTTGGTATTGAAAATCCGGAGGCCCCGAGAAAGGGTTGCACACGAAAGCAAGGCCGGGGAGCGTTGTTGCCTTCAAGGTCGATATGTTTGCATTCACCTGAAAATATTTTGCACATACACGTTAGAGACAAAGAACATGGAAGAAGCTCTGCTACTCTTAATTGAAACGCTGTCCAGATATCGGGTTCAATACCTCGGTAACGAGGTTGTAGATTCCCGAACTAACATCCGACAAGATGGGTTTGGCCGACAGTAGTTCATCGCATGGAAGGATAGAGCTCAAGCTATTGTTTTGAGGGTTCTTTTGGAAACTACTAAAAGCAGCGCAGGTATCGCCGGAGAATCTGAAGTACAAACAAAGAGATATGGAAGTTCGATTCAAGATTCTATGCCCGGGATGCCAATCATCGATACCGCACAGTATAACAGAGGACGGCGACTTGACGACATAATAAAGAAGAGTTTTGGCTTACTTTTCCAGGAAGAAATACACCCCGAAGAACGACCAACACAGAGCAATCAAAAGCCAAGTGAGTATAATCAGCCTGAAATTTTGGGAAACCAAATTTACACTGTAATTACACTGTGATGTATAATCAAATTCAATATTGTATGGAGTTTGCCAAGGACACTTACATGTTAAGCCCTCGTTTGAACCGAAGAACTCCACAAACTGGACAACAGAACACGAAGGAAACAATCAAAGTTTGAAAAGAATAAGCGATACGCAAATACCATATACATGTATAGATTCGATATATATATATATGTATATCGAAAATCTATCTAACATTGTGTAGTCAAGGGTTACCTAAGAGGGAAACAAGAGCAATCACACTCAAGGAAACGATCACGGTTGTCACGGCGTATCTGCAAAAGGACGATAAAAGAACCGAGAATTGTTAGTTTCTTGTATAACAAGGAAGACTGTGTAAATATCGGAGGATTGACGAATGGATCAGAGATCGGATTTTACACAATCCTAAGGGCCTTGTCGATGATGCGTCGGTTCTTCCTGGCTTGTCGTTGGATATTGGCCGCCTCATCGTCGAGTCTCTGCGACGTGGAAGCGAGGAAAACAGAAGCCTGATCGTTGCCGATTCGGTTGTCGAGTGACGATGAGATTCCTGTGTTAGAGCTAAGCCTTGTTATAGCCCCGGTCGTGTTATATATCGTCTCCGAAGCGTCATCTGCCGTATCGATGATGATTTCCACCACTCTCTTGGCCTTGGAATGAAATCTTGCATTTCCCCCGAAAAATACTCCAGATGCAGTTCTGCAAACAACGTGTATGCAACGAATTAGGATAATATCTATAGAATTCAGACCCGCGACGAAATTTTCTGTCGCGACAGGCAGATTGTTTAGATTCTACCACGACAAAGTTTATAAGATTCTTGGGTCATGAAAAACCGAAACGGCTTACAACGCGGAAACTGTGAGGAAGATGGAGAGGAGGAGAGGCTGGAGCTGATAGCATTGGCCGATACAAGGAGGCGTCACTCTCTTCGGCTTCTCGTCATTAGCTCTACGGAAAAACAAACGTGAAGCCAAGAGGAAGCTTCCATACATCGCTCCACACAGAAGCCATGCAACCCCAATTGCATATCCATAGATCCCTGTGAATACCAGAGACTGCACCAAATACGACAAGATAATTATAAATATAATTGAATTTAATGCACCCACCAATGCAATCTCGTGCACGGAGACGTAGTATAATGGAGTTGGTGACGTGACTTACACTCCAATAATGTTTATTGCTGATGTCATAACCCCCTCTGTATTTCTTGAGATTGTCAAGAGGATCAACCCTCACTGTTCGATCATCTTCGAACAATGTTTGGGACACATTTTCCAACTGAAGCAAGCTTCTCCCTAGCAAATTATACGATTGTTATCATCAAATAATGGGAATAATATTCTTGCAAAAATGTATATATATATATATATATATATAAATAGATAGATAACAAATCAAAACAATAGAGTTATCAATATAATACAATGAATGTGCGTAAAAACTCACGAGATGGTGTTATAGTTTGAGATATTGACGAGGCTGAAATTGTTGTGAACAAATTTGGAGCAACGATCAATGTCATTGTGTGAAATTGACAATATTTTTAATTATTTTAAATAAAAGCTATAAGGAGAAAATAAATACAAGAATTATAAAAAAAAACGGGGATTGGTGGAGAAGCATCTTCTATGCACATCTTACGGCCGACTTCCCTGTGTCAAGAAACCCGTGATGAGAAATGTTAGAGCATAAAAATAGTCGAATTTACATACATACATACATACATACATACATACATACATACATACATATATATATATATTATAAACCTATCTCAAATTCTTGCAAGAAATAGAAGATAAATCGTAGTCTATTGTGGTTAATTAGAACAAAATGATTTGGAAAAGGAAATTATCCAATTTGAAATACGGTGGAAAAAAAAAAAGCATACGCATGCATGCATGGATATGACCTAACCCATCAAACAAGGTGATGTCCAGTAATAACCACACAACCACAAATAATGCATTGCATATTTATTTTTATATATATAGATATAGTGCGATATATTATTTTTATCTTTTGGTGAAAAAGTGTAATGTATATTAATTAAAGCCTTTGTTTCCATTACATATATTTTAGGCGGTGTTACTTCGCATGAATGAATTCGCATCTCGATAATAAATTTTAGCAAAACGCATGCTAGAGCCACACGTAGACAAAGGGAAACGAGTATTTAATTAACTCCATAAAAAAATTTAAAAGTAAAATTTAAAAGTAAAAAAAAGTTGCTTTTTGACTTTTCTCTTTCTTTCGTTCGAAGAAACGGTGAGCGAAACTCAAGCTTCTATACGACGTGTCATATACGATTTTGGGACTGTTACGCTGCGTAAAGTGTAATTACAATAAACAAAAAATATCTATTCTCTTTAGGAAACGTTAACAGTTCATTAATATTTATACTTTATATTATAAGATATTATCATTGGGTATTTCTATATATATATATATATATATATGTATTGGTTACAAAGAATACGAACCCCTTCTCTCGTCTTTTAAAATGAATACTTAGTAAAATATTTTAATTAGATACGTCTTTTTCGTATATATAGATATTCAGAATAAAAAGAATACAAATGCCCCACATGTTATTTTTCTTATTTTACATGTAAATAATATGTTTTTTTAAATCAAAATCTGTTATTACAACCATAGAGATCTTTCTCACGATATAAATGCAGAGTTGCAACCACTAAACACATCAAAAACACCACCGGTTTTTTTCTCCATAATAATCGCCATAAAAAACTTAAAAGCTTGCATTTTTTTTTGCGGTTCTAACAATATCGATTATAATTACTGGAAAATCTGTGTGCTGCATCAGGTTTCTTTTTAGTGAAATGTTCAAGAAAAAACATTATAAAAAAATTATATGAAAAATTGTCAGTTAAAAATGAAATTTATCATCAATCGAGTTATACACAACAGAAGTATACTGCAAACCAGATTATATCATTTTCTAAGCGGAAAATATAAATTTCCGTAAGAAAAAATACCTTGGAAATGGCCGAGTTCTTCACCTTCAGCTTCTTCCTCCGGCAAGAAGAATGACCAAATTACAGGTTTATCAGATTATATCATTCACAAAGTCTATAAGAGAGAGAGAGAGAGAGAGAGAGAGAGAGAGGGAGGGAGAGGGACTTCATGGATTCTACAAACATTAATATATAGCGAGACCCAATATCGCCGTGTTTGAACGCCTAAAGGCTACAAAAAGAGAGACGAAAAATAAAATCTGGATGGTCAAAAACTTCAACGGAAACACGTCTCTCTCTCTCTAGATGTTTTATGTTAGGGATTTTCTTTGGCGGCTTCGGAAAAGTTCATAGGAATATTACGCATGCCTATGACCAACTAAACCTCTTTGATCCTAAATTCACATGCAACATAAAAAAAACCCTCTTTGAACCTTCAAACACGCATATATATATATATATATAGAGAGAGAGAGAGAGAGAGATTTCCAACTTAATCCGCTTGATGAAATAGTGCCCTATAATAAAATTATCGTTGTAATAAGAAATTGAATGAAATTGTTAGGATTATATGTATGTTGTGTGTACAAAAGCAATCGCAGGTCATGCGTATGCAGTTGTTTTGTCGGAAGCGTCCGGCCCAAATATGAAGCAGATGAAAGTCAAAGGTTCTGTTCTCGGTCTCCCGTGTCAAGCCAAGCTCATCAATTAATTTATTTGTTTTTCCCAAATTTATTTCGTGTTATATGTGTTTCGGTTCACTCACCTAAAATCTCGTTTAAATTTATTATCCTACTGTTAATTTATAGAAAAAGACTATTGTTTATTTGTCCTCCAATAAAAACTAAATAACGGTATCTCCACATTAATTTCTATCATTTTACTCTATATGATTGTTCAAGACTTATTAATATCACATAGTTAGCCCAATAAAAGAATGACACGTAATATAAGGAAATTTGATGTGTATTTGTAATATATCATTGTTGAAAATTTGCTACCAAAACAAGATGTTTAGTAATGAAATTAACAACGGAATATATTTCTTTATTTATAATTTGCAATGATGTAATAACGCTTTTCAATAAAATATAATTACAATGATTTAACAACGATTTTATAACCAAATAATTTTGTAGCAAATTAGGAATACTTTATCAATGAAAATTATATTTTATATGGAATATTTTAACCGTTGATATAAAGTCACGAAAATGATATTTGTGCGGTGGATGAAACACAGCCCAAAATGCAAAGCCCAAATCTCTCGTCCTCCTCCACCATCACTGCCTCCGCCTCGGCTCCGACCTCCCCGCCCGATTCGAATACACCAAACGCCTCTCCGGAACCCTAACCTCCGCTGCCTTCCGCCACTTCTCGCCTCCTCCTCCACCGTTCGCTTCCGTCTCTCACCCGCAACCCGCCGCCGCAACAACTCCGGCGTTGAGTTCGTCTCAGGTGGTGAAAGCTCTGGTCGGGACGTCGGTTTTCTCCGTCCGTAACACTAACAACGAGGTCGTGCTTATCTCCGATTTCAGTGGCGCCAAGTCCCTCGGGTTGCTATGTTTCCGACAAGAGGATGCGGAAGCTTTTCTTGCTTAGGTTTGCTTTTTGCTTTGTCGACTTTGATTCTGGGATTTGCCTTAACAGGATTGTAGTGGAAAAGTTTTGGAGATTGTGGTCGTTCATGTGATTTTTTGTCCAGGCTCGTTTACGGAGAAGATAATTTGAAATCCAGTGCTAAGGTTGTTCCCATTACTCTAGACCAGGTATTGTCGATTATCATTCCCTGTGATATGTCTCGCAACATAGTCTCTGCGACCTTGTCTGGTTTCTAGTTGTCTGGTTGAGCAGTTGTTCTTCGTTATTAGGCAGAAGCTCTCAGTCGAGCTACTCAAATAGTTAGGTTTGATATCGGAAACGTGATGAAAAAGTACATTCGAAAGTTGTGTTTCGGCTTTTTGCAAGACTGAAAGTTCATGTAATTTGTTACTATACTTACTTAGAATGGGTTGGGTCGTGTCTCATTCAGGACTTACGCGTCCGCCCACCCGAGGCGTGAGGTGGCCGCCTCTGGGATTGGTGCAGGAAATGAAACAGAGAGGATGAAGGAGAACAGGTAGACAAACCGCCATGGATAGTAACAGTAAACTCAGTAGATGGAAAGACAAAGAAGAAGATGAACTGGATGAACATGAGCCATCGCCTCATGGATTGTTTATCGCCATGGTTGCCTTCTGAACTATGCATTTGCACCATTGGATCCCCCTTGTACCCCGGAAAGTGCTTTGATACTAATTTGTTAGAACCCAAAAGGAGATTCTAATAGGAAATTGGTGTCGATACCAAGGAGATAGGCTGATCCGACATTTATCCGATTCCGAGGAATGTCACCTCCCAACTTTGATCAAACCCTTGATGATATTATTCGTCAATAGGAAAACCGTCATATAGAGGTACACATCAGCCTTATAATGGTTTCCTCAATATGTATGTCACAGGGAGGGGCATGGAGATAACAGTAGAAAGAATCGGGAGATTGCCTGAGTCTCGTCTCTGATACCCTAATTCATATTCTTACATCAGGAACATTCATATCGAATGATTCAAAGTAGGAACGATTAGATGATTCAAGATCTATCCCCATTAAGCTTTTTAAAACGTTAAACACTTATTATCACTTTCTCATCATCCTCATCACTGGAAGTAAACTTTTATGAACTCTGTTGAAATCTCCACACTAACGAATGTGACATAGTCGTTAAACACATGTTTATCGTCGTTATCATACCAAATTTTTGTTTCTGAAACAGGTTGGAGGGTCTGGAAGACGTCCTGAAGAAAATCGATCTCTGTTTCTGTAGGCGAGTGAGAGGAACTCGGGCTGGGATGATCTGAGACTCATTCCACCCCGTAGAAGTTACGCCCGTCACGTCCAAGAGGGCGGCTAATGAGTAGCAATTGCCAATTCATCACAGAATAGGAGTGGAAAGTGTACTTGGCTTCCGTTTTCGCGAAAGAACCAGGTAACGAATAAGTTCTTACCTTCAATCCGAGCATTATTTTTTTCCGAAGATGACTTTCCATATTAGTTTAAGTCGGAAAGAAACAGGAACATAAGAGAGATTTCCGGGGAATAAGCTCGACTGCAGTAGGATGGTTTCAACCATAATGTGGTCAGAATTTGAGCAAAACTTTCGACTTTAGTTCCGAATTCGAAGCGAATAAGCTCATCCGATATTGTTTAACTTCGCGGTAACAATCTGCTTAATTATGTCGGATTCTTTGTCATGAACTAAAGTAATCGAGTTCGATTCTCGTTGTAGACAACTACTTCTTTCTTGTTTGAGAGCTAAAGCATTCAAGTTTGCAGTGGCAAATCGAACCAGAATCTGAGTAGTTAGCGTTAGGGCCGGGCCGGGCGGCCACTGAATACTTTCAGCAAAATTGACTTGAATCATATATATCTATACCCAAATTGAATTGGATATAATATATCGAAAGTTATATATTTTTAAATTTCAAAATTGAATATAATATAAAATAATCAAATTTTGAATTTTTTTACAAAGAAGTATTAAAACATAAAATTGAATCTAGACGGAAGGATTATTTTTTATTTAAAACCTAAAAATGTAAATGCAAAAATAATCAGAACCCGGTTATTTATAACGACATGTGGTACTGAAATATCAACCCGAGTTATGATATCATATAATATGATGTTTTGGGTTAATCATATCAAGGAGAAAAGGAGGGCCGATTCAATCAATGTTGTGGGTTAGAGTTTAATTATCAAATATATTTGGTCGACAGATGATAAATCGCGATGGCTTAACCTCCTAATTATCGTATTTTCTGACTTCTCAACTTAAACTAAACTTGATTATAATCAATTTGGTCTAATATTTGATCATCTAATAGTATAATAAAATAATTAATAAAAAGATAATTGTTTTTAATGTGTTGGCATACTAGAAATACATATCATTTCGATAATTTTATCTCAAAATTTTGTTCATTGTAATTTTGCCGTGGTACTAAAATTTGTGTCTCAATAATTTTGCCATAAATATTCACATATATATTGCCATTTATTTCGTTCGAAACTACAATAAATTTGTGTGAAATTGACAATATTTTTAATTATTTTAAATAAAAGCTATAAGGAGAAAATAAATACAAGAATTATAAAAAAAAACGGGGATTGGTGGAGAAGCATCTTCTATGCACATCTTACGGCCGACGTCGATGTCAGCGGACAAGCAAAGACGTTGACGCGAGAACCGAAGTATTGGTGCGTGTCTTTGCTTGACATCGTATCTTTCTGATTTTACCATTATGCCCCTGCTTTTTCCTCAGTATTCTAATTTTTGCTTCAAAATAAATATTTAACAATTTAGTTTATCTTATTTGGGATAATATGGTTGGAGTATCTTACTGGATAGCCGAATTTCTTGAAAACTAATCATTCTACCAAATTCTGGAATAATTAATTATATGAGAAAAGAAAAATAAAAAAAATTGAAAAAGGTGGGATTCAATATGCCACAAGAACTATTTATTTTTTTATATACTACAAGATAAAACAAGAAAGAGAAAAATATTGTCTTTGATAAAGTATAAAACTAAAATTTTTCTTGATGAAAATATTTTTAAAATTTGAAATTTTAGTACATAGATGGCAATGCGTGAGAATTTATCTAATAAATTATATATATATACATATATATAAAAGAGCTTATCCGTGGTCTGAACTAGGGGTGTAAAACGGGCTGGTCCGGCCCAGCCCAGCCCGGCTTTATTGGCTAGAATGCATTGGTATCTGGGTGCATACAGGCTGGAAGGGTAAAGACAGCCTTCGAAGTCTTTCGTCAAATGAAGTTAAAGTGTGGACCGATGCCAGATTCCATTACATTAGCGAGTTTGCTGTCTGGGTGTTCCCAGCTCGGTTACATGTATTTTGGAAAGAAACTTCACAGTTAGCTTACGAGCAATTAAAGAAATGGAGGATCGTTTTTTTTTTTTGCACTGCTCTTTTAGACATGTATGGCAAATGTGGAAATGGTGAACTCTCAGAAATTGTGGTTCAACTCCATGCACTCATGGTTGGTTTATTGGGTCAAGCGGGTTTGTTTCCAGAAGCACTGGTTGTATTGTAATTGCAAAAATGAAGCTAAGGCCATACTTGCAGTATGTGGAGCTCTGCTAAATGCTTGCTCTGTGAAAAGAGAGATCGAGCTTGGGAAGTATGTAGCAAAGAAAATGTATATGTTGGATTTTAGAAATGGAGGGCTTTTTGTGTTGATGTCAAATCTGTATGCAGCAGAAGGAATGGAGAAAATGTAGCCAAAGTTAGGAGGATGATGAAAGTTACAGTAGGGGGGTGGTTATTCGGGTGTTAGTCAAATAAAGAAACGGCAATGTGGGAGGAGTACCTTATCTTATTTAATGAAATTGTTGTTTCCTGTTACATTGCTTAAGGTACTGTTTATTTTTCGTGGATTCTCGACTACTTGGTCTTAGTTCTTCCTTCTTTAACTAGTATCAAATATTGGGTTTTTTCTCCTTTTTTAATATACTTTTAATCGATTTGAACTTATTAGTGATGGGAGCCGGCCCGCGGGTCGGAACCCATTTTACACCCCTAGTCTGAACAAACATAATAGCATCCTTTACACGAGTATTATACCCCCCCCCACTTTTTACGGTCTTGTACTTCAATTCGGTGCACAACCGGCAAAAGGGCAATTATGGAATCCACCAGTAAAAGCTTCCAGCATATATATATATATATATTATACATAATAATAACATTATCGCACGCTATTTATAATATTTACTGAAAACTAATACAGAGCCTTGTTTTGGAGTAAAGGAAAATCCTTTTTTTGACACGTGTTTTTCATAGTGGTCTGATTCACTAATACAAACAATTTTGCCAATCACTCAAAATCTCTCCACCTTCATTAAGATATCACCATGATTTCCTGATTTCTCTTCCTTAACCTCCTCCGTTTGTAAGTTCATTGCATTAATTCACCATATGTTTATATAGTGCATATATATACACACACAAAACCATATACCCTTTGAGCAACAAACGCCCAGAGAGAGAGAGAGAGAGACTTAAAGAGGGGAGAGCTTGCTAGAAGAGAAGAAATGGGGGACAAATCTTGGTTCAGACAGGCGACGACGACAATGATGAAGATGGCTCCTTCGAAATCGGCGTTGATACGTTTCAACCTCGCCTTGTTCGCTCTCTCTTTCCTTTTATACACAGCGCTTCTCCTTCGGCCTTCTTCTTCGGTTTACTTCGAGAATGCGGCTTCCCTCGTTGGCTGCTCCTTCCGCGAATGCCATCCCAAGGTAAGGTGAGCTTAAGTTTGAACGTGGAATCATCCGAATTTTGTGTCTCCAAAAGCATAGGTTTCGATATATATTCTCTCGCGTTCATACAAGATAAAGGTTCAATTGCTTGTTTGATGTTGAAGAGGTCTTCAATTGTGATATTCTAACAAGCGTTACACTTTATTTGTATGAGTTTTATTCGTTTCTTGATATTTGAATCTTGGTATATGTTATAGGTTGAACGAGGAGTGAAGATGCAAGAACTCATGGAAGATAGCCAGATAAACAGCGGAGATTTACAAACGTCGAACAAAACCACCGATTTGACGAAAGTGGAGGTGCCAAGCTTCATGAAAGGAATTCTAAAAAAGGTGTTTGGAAGGCCGAGGATCGGGATGGTGAACATGGATGATGCCAACACAAGCGAATGGAAACACTACGGAGAAACGATACCAATACGCTTTGATCGCGTCTCGGACCTCTTCAAATGGCAAGACCTTTTCCCTGAATGGATAGACGAAGAGGAAGAAACCGATGTGCCCACTTGCCCCGAGATCCCTATGCCCGATATCACGTCCTTAGACAAAATGGACGTCATAGTAGCGAAGCTCCCATGTAATTATCCCGAAGAAGGGTGGAGAAGGGAGGTGGGTAGGTTGCAAATGCACCTCGCGGCGGCTAACTTGGCCGCCAAGAAAGCGAAGAGGGATTGGAGATGGAGGACGACGGTGGTGTTTTGGAGCAAATGCAGACCGATGATCGAGATTTTCCGGTGCGATGATTTGGTAAGAAGAGAAGGAGATTGGTGGTGGTATAGACCGGAGGTTGTAAGGTTGCAACAAAAGCTTGATTTGCCGGTTGGCTCTTGCAATCTCGCTTTGCCCTTGTGGGGACGTCAAGGTAATTTTCCTTCTTCCTTTTTTTTTTTCCTGCAATGGTTTAGATACAAACATTAACCTAAACATTTGAATGAACAAAAAAAGAACAAAAGAAATTGAAAATAAATTGTGTTTCATCGTTACAAATTTCAGGAAAAAGGGCAAGTTTGTGTGGCAATGATTATAGCGTAACGATGATTTTTATCATATAATAAAGTTCAAAAGCATAATTATTAAATCTATTAAATAACCAAAAATACGTTTCAAGATCAAAAGGAAAGTGAAAATGACAATGTAACTTAAAGTCTCAACTGCTTAATAAAAACAATCCATATTTTTGGTGCATTTGCTGTTTGATTAATTGTCTGAGCCAATAAGATACGCAGTGGTTGAGTTTTAGGTGTGTCTTTTACTAACCACTAATCAAACTTGATTATCACTCTAATCAATCTTCTATTTTTTTTAATATAAACATTTTGTAATTAGCAATTTTTTTTTACGAATCAATATCTAGGGTGCAAATTTCCAACTACACATGTGGTATGAATTAAAAAACAAAATAAATAAGAAAATGTTTTTTTAGCACCGGCAAGAATAACTAGTGAGTTATGATAGTAATTAGTAATGCATCCTTGATATATATGTACAAATAATTTGTTATCAAATAACTTTCTTATTAAGGTTAAAGATTATATACATATCTCATTGTTTCAACACAAGTAGATGAAGTTAAATTGCTTTAGTGCATGCTAATTTATGAATGGATAGTAGTTCAAATTTTAAAAAAATTAAGGGAAGCTAAAAACAATAGTGAGAAATAACTAAAAAACCAAAGTTATTGGAAAAAATTGAATTGTTAGGATATTATACTTCAAATGACACATTTTTTTTATTGGACTACAAAATTTATATTAATATACTAAAATTTCATCTTAAAAAATCCAAGTTCTTCCTAACATGTTTTTTTTTTTCAATAGAAGGAAATAGAAAACTTTGTCACCCAATTCATCATGACATCCTTTACAAAAGTTTAAGATAATATTAATTTACAATATTTTTTAAATGAAAGACATCATGACCATATGACCAAATGTCTTGCTTGTCTTCGCAATTAAAACTTTGGTGTGGACCAAAGTTTTTATATGTCCCACCATTGGAACTATTTAAAAAAAAAAATTATATTCTACTGTTGGAAAAAAATATTCACAAAACTCTTAAATTGGATATCCAAAAATTGGGTATTCATACGACAAACAAAACGAAATCCGATAGTTTCAGATATTTTAATTCTATAAATTTTAATTTTATTTTTAAAAATAAATTGTTAACCTTTTACCACTTAAAAATTTATGAACTTAAAGTTATTAAGTTAAAAAAAATCAGATCAATAAAATTTTAAAATCAACTCTTCATATGTTATAAACTTAAAAATCACCTAAGTTTTCTAAAATCTATGAACGCAAACGGTAATCATTCGGAATATATCTCATCCAAACGTACGTACTTTCATCTTAAAAATAACACCTAACAACAACGATGATATATAACAGGGACCGACGAAGTATACGACGTATCGAAAATGGAAGCGATGACGAAGACACCGAGACGCGAAGCCTATGCGACGGTGTTACATTCCTCGGAGGCTTACGTATGCGGCGCCATCACACTCGCACAGAGCCTCTTTCAGACAAAAACTAAACGAGATCTTGTCCTCCTCCACGACAACTCAATCTCACGGTCGAAACTCGACGCCCTCGCGGCCGCCGGGTGGCAGCTCCGACTCATCAGCCGTATACGAAACCCCAGAGCCGAAAAAGACTCTTACAACGAGTATAACTACAGCAAGTTTCGGCTTTGGCAGCTCACGGAGTATGATAAGGTCGTGTTTATCGACGCCGACATAATTGTTCTGCGTAGTTTGGATATTCTCTTCTACTTTCCCCAGATGTCGGCGACCGGAAACGATGTTTGGATCTTCAACTCTGGTGTGATGGTGATCGAACCCTCGAATTGTACGTTCCGTACGCTCATGAGCCAACGTAACGATATTGTTTCGTACAACGGTGGAGACCAAGGTACGCACGGGCTTTTCTTGTCTTTTTCTTGTTTCCAATTACTTGATCAATCGATTGATTCCATGAGCAAAATAGGTTATTTATAGACTTATAAACATCTATGAAACACATCACTAACTTTGAATCATTATCACAAAAAAGGCTATCTCAACGAGATCTTCGTATGGTGGCACCGTTTGCCTCGACGCGTAAACTTCCTGAAGAACTTTTGGTCCAACACGACACTCGAAACCAACCTGAAGAACCATCTCTTCTCGTTGGATCCACCGAAACTGTACTCAATCCACTACCTGGGTTGGAAGCCATGGCTATGCTACAGAGACTACGACTGCAACTTCGACGTCGAGGAGCAGCTCGTTTACGCGAGTGACGCAGCTCACGAGCGCTGGTGGAGGGTTCACGACTCGATGGGAGAAGGGTTACAAAGGTTCTGTAGGCTGACCAAGCGGCGGCGAACGGAGCTGAATTGGGAGAGGAGGAAAGCGAGGCTTAGAGGGTCGAGTGATCGCCATTGGAGGATCAATGTTACCGATCCTAGACGTCGAAAATCTTATTTGATAGATTAGGGTTTTGCATATGTATATATATGCATATATATACGTACTACTATTCCGTACGTTCTTCTCCTCTTATGTATTACTTTCTTTGATTGATGTATTTCATTTTTTGGGTTAATTTTAATTTGTGGTTTGGCTTTAGCGTTTCAAGGGAATTCGGATATTTTCGTTTCAGTTATGTGATACAAATATATATATATATATATATCGTTCCCTCCTCTGTTTTTCGTTGGTATTATTTTTTCTTGTTCATGTCAAAATGAATATATTTGGAATTATATGAAAAATTTATAGGTTGAATTCAGTTTCATGCAATTTAGACAGATAATTTCCGTTGGCAACCAAAAAGGATCCCTTACTCGTAAACATAATCATAGACAGGGAAGTGACAAGACAAAGGCCCTTCCTCTGAGTGGAGAAGGGAAAAACAAAAGCTGCAGAAGTAGCATGGATTCTTCTTTGTCCACTTGTTGTCCGCCGCGAATTTGGTAGCTCTGTAGATCTTGCAGACTCCGCATTTCACGACAACCCGCTTCTGTTGATATGCGACTCTCGGATAAACCGCTCTGTCGCGATCGTCTTCGGGGTGAATCAGTCTCATGTCCCGTATAACTATCATGTGCTTGCAGTCTCCCTGCATCAGATATGGTTTCATTAAGCAATGTTTGTACCTGAATTTTGGGTTCTCATGGCTATCCATCCCACAGGTACCCGAAAGTCGGGTACTCGACCGAGGTGAGATCGAGTACAAGTTAGTCACCCATGAGAAATTCAGCCGATAAGTAATCGTATATGCGGGTAACCCCAACAGAGGGGAGGGGGACAAGGAGAAGGGAGAGAAAGGAGTGAGGGCGTCGCGAGGGGGTGAGAAGTCGGTAACTATGTGGTTGGAAGATGGTAGAGTTAAGTTGGGGCGAAACACGAGGCAAAATTAGGGTTTCGTTCGAGAGAGGGCGAGACGACGTTTCAAAACTCGGGAACCGACCCATACCGTACCCACCCTTTTAGCTTTGCAAAAGGATGGCTAAACGAAGGACAAGAGGAGGCATTCACTCATTACGGGATCAGAGGGATATACCGAGAGCTTACCTGGTGACAGTAAAGATAACTCGCACCGAGTCTGAAGCTCAAGTCACAGAACCGTGTGGTTTGCATTTCCGTGGCACTGAAGTGAGGTAGATCCAGTTTCACTTCCTTTGACAACAACTTATGCTTCCGGTGTATTTCACCAGCTGCAATGCATTCCCATTTCCTCAATGCTTCATCCTTTGAATGCCAAAGCCAATCGAGTATGGGTTTGCTGTAATCTATTGCTAATGGATTCCTTAAATCATTGTAAAAAATATCCTAAAAAAGAAAAACGTTTGGGTAAATCAAAAGAGGAACTAATATGGCCGTCGTCGAATAAGAGTTGAATAGATTCTTCTTACTTCTATGAGGAAGTATCCAGATGGATCATATTTCCCAGCCTTTGTCATCGCCTGATCCGTACGACAATGTATTTTGTCCTTCAGTTCGGTTAACTTCTGTCGTCCTAGAACCAAGAATTCTTGGGTCTAAACAGAACACCACACATGCATTAGTAGAGTTACATACGAATTGCCTCTATTTTTTATCTTCTATTGACCATTATGCATGGACGAAGAGAAGGGTATCGGCAAAGAGGGTTCATCTAACAATACAAAGTTCACAGAAGTTCATAGACTGAAGTACCTTCGATTTGCCGCTGTTATATATTTCTATACACAGAATGACTTCAGGAACTCGCATGTCCAGTGGGTCTTTAATGTATGGTGGCTTCAGGAGCTGTGTACAGAGAGGATAATAAGTAGAACGCAAAATAAAACACGATGATTGCAAGGAGTTCAGATGGCTAATGGTCAAATGAAAGTGCATGGAAGAGTCACTTGATTCATGGGCAAAACCTTTGCTGCGTGATTTGTGGAACTAAGTGATTGCATCCTCTCGAACCCTTCAGAAGAAGCAGTCACAGATTTGACATTTTCACAAGATCTGAATGAATATCGAAACACGATATTAGCACAAACCAGAAAAGACGTATCAGCAAATTGAAAACTATGCAATCTTAAACACATACTTTAGGCAGTGCAGCCTCACAGTCGCTTTTTCCTCTTCCTGCATTTTCTTAATTTGGGCAAGTTGCTCCACTTTTGTGAGAAAATATTCCTACGAACAAAAGTAACAGAACAAGTGAATGTGTCCAATATGCATGAAATTAATATTCACAACTTTCACTCCTTGTCGAAGCATGCCACCTTAATCTTGTAATCAGACCAACAACTTAACAACAAAAGAGTTTGCGGTACAACACTACCGATGTAGAGAAAGATAAGCTGTCAACGCGACAAAAGAAAACCAGTGTGCATGATATGATTTCAAATGCTAACTATCAGCCATGCCAAAATCATTACACGTATACTCACCTCACTCTTCTTTTCTGCCTTCTTCATTCTCTTCTTAGGTTTCGTTCCACTCGAGGACTTCAAGGAAGGTGCATTGTTTGCTATTTCCGCACCATTTACCAAGTTAACACCTTCATCACTCGACACTTTCTGATCGCAGTCACTTCTGAACAAAGAAGAAAGCGGTGTTCTTATATCGAAAAAGAACAATACTTGTTAGAATTTCATAGATGTATTGGGAATACATAAAGGAATAAGAGTGCCGGAAATAAGAATCAAAACCAGTCGAGAATGGGCATAAACATGACTAACCTACAAGCTGATACAAAACCCAATTAAAAATTCCGTGTTACAAATGATTCACATGAGAAGGGGAATTATTTCTTAAAAACGAGAAACAACTGCCAAAATTCCTTACAGATGAGAAGTACTGGAAGGTTGTTCCAAGAAATTTTGAGAATCTACATCCTCCTGAAATAGAATCAAGAACCAACAATTAACTATTCTCAGAAAAGATTGAAAAACAAAAGAAGCAAAACCAAAGATCCAGCCATATACCCGGAAAGCTTCCTTCATAGCTGTCTCTGTGAGTTCTTCCTCAGTATAAAGTTTGAGGCCGCCGGTCCTGCATCATAGTTCCACCATCACATAATGTGTATATATAGGTGATTCCAACTTTGATTGAACAGTAGCATAGAGATATGTGAATACATACGAAACATCATACTGCTGCGTGTAGGAAGAAGAATTCGCAGACAAGTACGTTTCCAAATCCTGCATCAGAAGGTGAAGAGAATTGTGGAACTCGGGGACTGTTGAAAGAGGTCCCACCATGTTAGGCAGATAGATAGGGCCTCCTCTTGGTACCCCTGAGGTCTCTTCACTCTCCATTTTCTTCCGATTTCAAGGAGCTCCTAGATGAACACAACGGGCAAACTCTTATCATAAATTGGACGGAAAATGAGAAACCGAAGCAGATCGAAGGCAGTATTCAAAATCTTTGCGAGCGAGAAAGATACTGAATCAGTCAGGATTTTGCCGAAGACGGTCAGAGATCGAATAAGAGTGGGCTCAACAAGAGCAAGGGTGTCTAGGTTCAATCCCTGTCAATTCAACGTACTCAAAATCCTCAGCATTGTTCATCTTTCTGTAAATGAGGACATTTAACCAATAGAACTTCGGCATCCTCAAATTATCTGAAGGACCCTTTTCATATGTGAAACTGAATCCAAACAAGCACCATGAATTTGAGGAAATGACAAACTAAAACCCAGAACTCAAGCATATCAGCAACATTTTATTTCTTAAACTATGACTGACAATACCTTGTGAACGTCAATGCAAGGACGAAATCTGCAGCCGAGAGGATCCTGCAAGAAGAAGAAACCTCAGAATTACACAACAAATCTAAAAATTAGCAATAAGAGCGAGAACTAAAGACGAACAAGACATACGTTTGGACGGGAAAGAAGACAAGGGTTGGGAGAATCTGAGATGACGCTTCGGAGATGTACCAGACGAGGAGCTCAGATTGTTCTGGAACCAGGCTTCATGCATAATTGATTCACTGACTGCACGAGAGGGCAAATTTAGGGTTTTCCGGAAACCATACGCGCTTTTTTTTTATATTTTTTTTTTGGTTGTAGCAGAAGATGCGACGGGGAAGAAAAAGAACGTCATGAAGTTCGTCTCGAACGAAGAGGCTCCATGATCGGCGAGTATCAGCCGGACAAAATCTTCTTTTAAAGTACATAAAGAGAAGATGACGACCGAGAAAACGAAATCTTCCACTATAAATGTTTATTTCTTAAAGTGATTTTTAATAGTTAAGGTGCACTTGCTAAAAAAAAAAATATTTAATTAATTATTATATTTGATTCAAATTAAATAAAACTTTATATAATTTAGTTCCATTTGATTTAATTTTACATAATTGATATGAGTTAAAGAATCGATTACTTTAGATTTTGAAAATATATATCCAATTAATTTTATATTAGATTTGGTTTGAATGATGTTATATACGTATTATTTAATCCGGTTTGTTTAGATTTCAGGTAAGCTGATAATAATTGATGTCAAACAATTCTAACCTTAAAAAGAACATAATCCCCTGACTAGTGATTTGTTTCAGGTTCGGTTCAGAAATTATTCGGTTCATTTAATTCTATAAAAATATATACTAATTAATTATTATACTATATTCGGTTTAATTCGGTTTTGATTTCATTTTTATTAAAAAAATATTTTTTTTGAAAAAAATTCATTTTTTTCGGGATTTTTAATATTCAATTTGCTTCGATTTTTAATTGAATTATAATTATTTTTAATAATGCACATATATATATATTTAATATTTACTATGTATATATATATGAATTAGTAAATATCTCTTATATTTTTTTTGTTTTTAATTAAAATTAAGACCATATCCGCCATGTTCCGTCAACTAATTTAACGCCTTTATGTCAAAATCGATGAATTGATTTTATTTTGAAAGTTAGAAAAATTCAATATGAATATATCATTTATTAGGAATTTGTTTTGGTATTTTACCTAAAAACAAATATTGATAATTCTCAGATAAAATGAAGTGTAATCTCGGCTGGATGTATATGGCCACTAAATAACGTATGGATATCTATCCTGAGACACACACTCTCTCTCTCTCCACGGCAGCATTCACTCTCGCTCGGTCGTCTCTCTCGCCGTCGGCGTCGCTCCCTCCCTCCCTCTCTCTGGTATGTGCTTCTTCTATTGTCTCTGAGGGATTCTCTTTTACTGCCTGAGCTTTTTGTTTCATTTTCTTTCATGGGTTTGGTGTTTGGGAAGTAATCCTGGTTTTACCGTTTTTGGTGATCGCATAGTTGTGGGTTTTCTCGGAACCCCTTCCACAACAGCATTTGTAGTTTTGTTGCCTTCCTATGGGCAATCTATTATGTCTCAAGGGAGGTCTGTTCGTGTTCTCGCCGATAATGCTGGCTTTGAGTGGGTTCTCATGTGAAAAATGCTATTCTCTCGATGCATTCTAAGTTTGGAGGCTTGAAATCAGCAGAATACTTATTTAGAGATTCGAAAAAGAAAAACACCGTGTCCTGGAATGCAGTGATTGGTGCATATGGCCAAAATGGCCTCAAAGAAGATGCAATGCATGCTTTCATGTAACTGCTCGAGGTCAATGTAGAAATTGGTGCTGTAACTATCACCAGCCTTGTTTCTGCTCGTGTTTGTTATGAATCCACATGCAAATAAGGTGTAGTCAGCCTGACAGCGATCTTTTCAAGCTATGCTGTGAAAACGGAATATGGATATCGTGGTAGTGTATCTTTCTAGGATGCAATGGTTGAGTGTGAAACTAGACGTGGTAGCTATGGCCGGAATTCTCCACGGGTTTTCCAACTGTGGTAACATCGACTTCGAGATTTCTTAACATGCTTATGCCATCAAAAGCGGCTTATGCACTGATTCGCTGGTTATGAATGAGCTGATAACTATGTATTCTAACTCTGATAGTGTGGATGCTATGCTGATTTTGTTTGAGGAGATAAAATAGTAGCCTCTTATTGGCTAGAATGCATTGGTATCTGGGTGCATACAGGCTGGAAGGGTAAAGACAGCCTTCGAAGTCTTTCGTCAAATGAAGTTAAAGTGTGGACCGATGCCAGATTCCATTACATTAGCGAGTTTGCTGTCTGGGTGTTCCCAGCTCGGTTACATGTATTTTGGAAAGAAACTTCACAGTTAGCTTACGAGCAATTAAAGAAATGGAGGATCGTTTTTTTTTTTTGCACTGCTCTTTTAGACATGTATGGCAAATGTGGAAATGGTGAACTCTCAGAAATTGTGGTTCAACTCCATGCACTCATGGTTGGTTTATTGGGTCAAGCGGGTTTGTTTCCAGAAGCACTGGTTGTATTGTAATTGCAAAAATGAAGCTAAGGCCATACTTGCAGTATGTGGAGCTCTGCTAAATGCTTGCTCTGTGAAAAGAGAGATCGAGCTTGGGAAGTATGTAGCAAAGAAAATGTATATGTTGGATTTTAGAAATGGAGGGCTTTTTGTGTTGATGTCAAATCTGTATGCAGCAGAAGGAATGGAGAAAATGTAGCCAAAGTTAGGAGGATGATGAAAGTTACAGTAGGGGGGTGGTTATTCGGGTGTTAGTCAAATAAAGAAACGGCAATGTGGGAGGAGTACCTTATCTTATTTAATGAAATTGTTGTTTCCTGTTACATTGCTTAAGGTACTGTTTATTTTTCGTGGATTCTCGACTACTTGGTCTTAGTTCTTCCTTCTTTAACTAGTATCAAATATTGGGTTTTTTCTCCTTTTTTAATATACTTTTAATCGATTTGAACTTATTAGTGATGGGATTTCTGTTTATATGCCAGATTACGCATCCGTGGAGAGAGGATTGCGTGGAAATTCGATTAGATCGTCTGGATTATCGGGTATATATTGCTGGTCTCGACTTTAATATTCAATGCAAAAACATAGTAGTCTTCATGCTGGATCCTTCTCAAGATTTGGCTGGAAATCTGATAGATGGCATGATTCGACAAAGACTAGCGTGTTTCCCCCATGGTTTTCCAGCAGCAATAGAGTTAAATTTTCCTTTTTGAGAGCCAAACCCCCATGTCTCAGCATAAAGATCGGTCTGGAGATTTCACTCAAAACTCACAAATTTCAGCCTGGGGTGACTAAAAGCGTGGCTGATGAGAACCACGGGGAGCTATCTGATGAAGATGACGATCTTTGCCCCGTTGAATGTGTTCGTGAGTTCAAGACAGACGAAGAGTTTCAGAGAATCCTTGAAAAAGCCAAAGAAGCCAGTTCTTTAGTCGTGGTTGATTTCTATCGCACTTCCTGTGGGAGCTGTAAATATATAGAGCAAGGTTTCTCAAAACTCTGCAAGGGATCCGGTGACCAAGAAGCGCCAGTTATCTTCCTTAAGCATAATGTGAGTACTTTTTAGCTCTCATCTCGATGGAAACATGCACAAATCTATCTAAAGTCTTGTGAATAACTAAAGGCATTGAGAAATCCTAGAACATGGTGATTCTGTAGAGGAATAGGACAACTTCTACCGGTTCCCTTTACTCTATATTTGGGTTCTCTTGATCTTATAGCTTTGATTATAAGATCACAATCTTCACCATCTGTTAGTGTCACTGTTTTTATGCTGAGATATCTTTGGTTAATGCCGATATGGTGACCGGCAGAAACTGCAATAAGATTTATTCTTAGGTGCAAAGCTTCTGCAGGTAATCGATGAATACGATGAGCAATCGGAAGTTGCTGAAAGGCTCCGAATCAAGGTAACGTCCTGTGGTACAAAGCTACGAGCCTTTCTTCACGAATCAAGTGGTATGTCGGTCGCTTGGAGTTTCAATTGGATTCACAACCGTTGCTTCGATATCTCTTCTGGGATTCAACTTTACGTATTCCACTCTCATATTGAGAAATGCATCAGGGAGCAAATTATTTTAGTTCCCATCTTCTGGTATCTGTCCCGTCTTTAGTATTAGAATAACGAATGGTGAAGTTTGATGAATGCAGGCCGTTCCCCTGTTCCACTTCTACAGAAACGGAGTATTGTTGGAAGCATTTGCAACCAGAGAAAAGGAAAGGATTGACACTGCCATTTTCAAATATACATCCTCCAAATGTTCCGACACATTGGAATAAACAGGTTACTGTTTGTCTTTCCAAATGAGAAGCCATTTATGAATATGTTTGTATGTGTTGTGTCCCTGAAACGGCCTTATATTTTTTGTTGTTGCAAGTCTAAGGATTCTTACTAAATAATGAGGGATCATTTTCCAGGATGACATTTTGGTCTCATCAACTTTATCTTGAACTCTTAGGGGACCCACACGCCTTTCATTTTGTCAGTCTTATATGTTTTCGCAGCCTGCATCAACAACTTTTACATGTGTTTTCCTTAGCAAGCTGATGCTTCTGCTGTTGAGTGGGTCGTCACAGAATAAAATAAATAAATAATGTTCAGATATCTTTCCAAAACAATTTGCAGTGAATTGAAATATCTTTGTAAAACAATTTGCAGTGTGTTTCTTCTACCAGGTTAAAACATTCTGCAGCATAAGCGCAAGCATGTAATTTCCTATAAAATAATCACCCTTAAGGACACATTCATTGCTGCTGGAGTAGAAACACTTGGTATTTTTATAATAATGGAATAATCTCATATTGAAATGTAAGGAGCTTATTGGGTAAAATGTTATAAAACATGAATGACATTTATTGCCCCAATGCTTTACAGTTTCCCTTATGCCACCACACCTTTAACACAAAAAGAAAAAAAGAAGCCCAAACCAGATTATAAATCAGCCATAAGTCTCCCCCCCATCGTCCCCCATTGCCTTTTCCGTTTAAAAAGAAAAACACTTGTCCAAGGTGATCATCACAAATGATTAAAAATAAAAAAACTTGAACTGTATTCTCAAGATTTGGAATTCGATTCATCTCCTTCGGGTACTGCAGGTCCTTGCATATTGATTTGACCTGAATCACGTAGACAGAAAAGTATATGGGAAAACCAGTGATATATGAATTTCTAATTTTGGCTTCTAAAAAGTAGATTTGCAGACGAAGCCATTTTCACCAGGTGTAAAGACTTCTTAGAGCTCATTCAAGCCTTCAGTTGAATAAAAAAAAGAGTAACATTTAAAGCTTTTCACAAACTAAAAGTTGTTTCGTATTTCGACAAGGCATAAACAGTTAATCATCATTTGAACGATCTGAGATTACGTACCTAACAACGATATCAGCGATGGTGCATCCGATGATCCATTTGGTCTCACGCTCATGCCTGTGCCCGTGTCTGCCAGTTCATGAACAAATAGATGCATTCAGTTCAGTGATTTTCCTTTTTTGAGGGTCAAAAGGTTATTCATCACTCACCCAAAAATCTCCAAACGTATATAGTTTGCACTCATGATCTTGCAGAGATGAAAAAGTGCCTAAACCACTAAGACCACGAGATTTGTACGGTCCATTAATATTTATTTAAGTTTCTATATACCATATAGTTATTATCTTACTTCCAAGACAGAATAGAATTTAGACCTAAATCAGCTACAAGGCAAGTAAAAATAAATTAACTTTATAAAGAAACCCGTTCTTTTTATCGGTCGACAAAACCATATAATAGAAAGCGAGCCCAATAGGAAAGCATCAACAAGACATTTAAAATTGAGAACACATCGTCGTTAGTAGAGCCAAAGAGTGTGCACATATACCAAAAGGAAAAGGATATAAATTTGAAGGTTACCTGTGCTTTCCATCGATCTAACAATGTCCGACTTCTTAAATGTAAATCCTATGAAATTGGTGTCTTTAGACGTCAGCATCTGTTCAACCAAATGCAAAAATGAGCATCAAATTGTTTAGGTAGGAAGAGAACGAAAGATAACAG